AACTCTAAATACACTTCAATGCCCAACGCCCCTTGATCTTTATTTAGACAAGCAGGCGAGGGCTATTTTGCATAGTATTAACGCCCAAGGCGGTATGAGCCTATTAATGAGATCCAAGCTTGAATTAATGCTTGAAAACGTACATAGTGCAACTACCCTCCAGAGAAGTCTGGCTGAATGGTTATCTGCAAGGTCGGTGGCTTATTATAAATATGGTTAATTTTACCTTTATCTTCTAGGCAGAAATTTTCGCCATACTTCAGTGTGCGGAAATCAACCCGCAAAAACAACACGTCAACCATATTACTTATATTAACTCTGATAGTCAAACAGCACTGCTAGCGCCAAGATCAAACTTGAACTCGAAGCTATTTGGAGACTGCGTGAAAAGTATAAACGCCCTAGGGTGTAACAACCGGGTCGTTTTAAGATGTGTTCTGGGTCATGCGGTATTGTGGACAGTGAACTTGCTGACAAGCTCCATGGCAGGGCTCAAAGAGTACACAATTTGGACCCGAGCCATTTTGTGGGATTTCAGAAAGCCTAGCCCGATTGACCCTTGAAACTCTTTATCACAATAAATCTGATACAGGCTTAAAACATTCTGAAACCTTAATACAGGCTTATATTAAGACCTCTGATTAAGTCAGAATAAACTGCGTATTCTGGCAAGAGCCCCGACTGGGCACTGTTGTCCAAAAAAGCACATATCCACCCTGGGACTAAGCAACTCAAGGACGTGCCGGTTCTGTTCCTTAACGGAAAAAACACCTCTGCTGATTCTAACTGATTGAGGACCACTCTAACACTCATGTGGGAAACTACGTACTTCGTTCAGAAGAAGTAAAATTGCTCACAACTAAGCAACTCCTTCAATTCATTGAAGGCATAGGGGTTAGCAGCGAACTATATCCATAGCAGCGATCTATTGTGATCGCTGAAGACCTATAGGTCGCCGTGATACTGGTCTTTCTAGACCTGAGTAGCTGCTCGCACACAAAAAAAAACTTATTGATATATTACTAGATGCTATCCAGGCGAGGCAGGACGGGTCGCGTGTACGTAATAAAAACAAAAGTTTTTCAGTAAATTATTTAATTTATCACAAACTAAAACATTCATTTCTTTAAGTGCTAAATATTTGAACCCTCATAGTGTTTTATCACAGGATTCCGCCTCAAATAAATAAACATAATATCACATTTAACTCTTATGTTTAATATAAATATGTATATACAATATGTAACGTAATTAACGCACACCCTCAGACACCCCAATTAGTATATTATGTTATAATCATAATACATACACTGAATTTTTAGTTAAACAATTTTATGCACTGATTATTTATCAAATTAGTTATACTAATTCCGGAAAAACGTTGTGGTCACAGTACAAATCCACAAACGCAAAGACTTTAACGTGCTTGAAATAAAGTTCATTTTTATAATAATTATATATAAAAACTAAAACTGTCTTATTGCCTTAAGTTACGGTCTATTTCAGTTTGTTATGACTGTACAGATTTAGTGTGACTGTAATTTACGTAGTTTTAATTATTTTTGGTATAAAAAATTACCTATAGATATTAAAAATGATAGGAATCGATTCAGTAAACGATTCTGAACATTCTACTTTCTCAAAGTGCGTTCGTAATTAGGTTACGTGTACGTATTTTATAAAAAAAAATTACATAACAGTGTAAAAAAAGTTGTAGCCACTTAAATATTATGACAGAAATGTAAGAACTTTACCCTTTCTTTATTGTTTTCTTTTAAGGTGGTTCGTGTCGTAGCAGACAGAAATATTTTTCTGTAAATAATTTGTAATAATGAAGAATAAAGGTATTTTTAATGTAATGTGTTTTTAATTATACCACACGCATTTTCGGATTGCGCGGTACGGTTCGCAGACGCTCATGACGTTGTCGTCCAACTGCGGCTCGCGTACGCTGCCGCCAAAACTTGTAAAAGGTAGGTAAAAAGTGTAGGTTACACCGTAATAACAAAGTTAAAGATATACAGTTCTACAAGTTGTTGTCTTAAACTATCGACTTTTGCTGGGATCAACCGACGCCATGATTTTATTTATTTAAATTGTATGTGTAAGCTAGTTATTTAAATTCGATTGATTGATCACTACAAAACAAAAATGTAAAAATAAAAACAATATCAAAAACATTTAAGTTACAACTCTAGTGCTAGGAGCGTAAGTAATTATGTCCTCAACTAGGCTTAGTTTTCGTACTGTCCATACTATTTTTATACTGTGACAATACTTACCATGAAATAATTCATAATTTTACGTAATTTTGTCTTAATTAATCAAAAATCCTAAAAGTTATAAAGTACTGTGACAAAATAGATTACAAATTAACAAAATTAATGTGTTCCTAATATGAAACGACAAAACCGTATTTTGAAATTTAAAGTAGTAGTCAGTAAAATAAATCCATATTCTACCTTTATCCATTATGTGAGCCAACTAATTAAATACGTGCGGTTAAAAAATGGGATTGTAAATGGCGTCGCCTTTATTGATCTCTCGCTCGCACACTGTCGCTATCTATACCCACACCCGCCGATAGACTGCAAAAAATTTACGTTGCGTTATGCGTTTTTCACACGTCATATAGCTTCAGACCAATTTGTCATTGAAATCAATGATAACAAAATGCAATAAACTACAAAAAAAATCATCCCGGTTTCACTAATTTGTGAGCTAAACGCGTTATGAGCGATTTCTCCATAATAATTGTTGACTTTGTTTGTTAATATTTTTATATAAAATATTTACATGCCCTTGAGATATGAGTAAGCATTTTTAAAAATTTCGTGTCTGTCTGTCTGAGATAATCTTCGGAATGGCTGAACCGGTTGTAATGAAACTTCACAAACAAATACAGAGTAATACAACAGCACAAACAAATACAGAGTAATACAACAGCACAAACAAATACAGAGTAATACCAGGAGTGATGTAGACTAAATATTCGAAAAAAATAGATTTAATTAAAATAGAAATATTGATAAGATATAATAAAAGGTCTTTAAGGATTATTATCATAAGTCTAAATAAGACCACATTAATAGATCCCACCCACGTGATGGACGCGAGAGCCAGACGCTAGTTATAAATGTTGTTTTAAAATTAATGTACTTACTTGCGTATATCATTCTTTTCAAATATTTTCCCATTAATAGAAAATTTCCAACTAACCGAATAATATAACGTTATAAATATATACCATTACAAGCGGGTTTTCGTTATCGGTGCTGTGCATGTTGACGGTACGGGCTCGATGAGGCGCCATTTCTAATCCTATTCTTCATCCGAAAGGACTATAAGACATATTTTAAATAATTATAACGAAAAGTGCTGATAATTAGTTAACATAATCTATACTTATCTGTGTTACCAAATATTGTAAGAGCACATTCGAATGCAGACGTGTCCAACATTACAACTTATTTAAAGTAGTTCCAGTCTTGAAATTTATAAAAAATCGCGGATTTCAATCAATGTTCTTTTATATTTTAGTATAATGGCCTTTCAGAGCCTTCAAGCTTCAAGTGGTAGTTTTAAAGCTAAGCGCCATAAAATGCAAGCATCCCTGGTTCGATCCACAATTTCATTGGATCGAAATTGTTAATTGCAATTTTAAGTGCGGGCTTACCAAGTGCCGTCGCTGAAAGAAAACATCGTGAGAATACCTATGTCTGAGAAAAATAAATATCGAAGACATGTGAACTTCGTCAACACGCATTTGGCCCACGCGGGACCGCCCCAAATCTCTCCATGCTCTTATTCTCTCCATGAAATAAGACGAGACCTGTGCCCAGCAGTCTATTTTATTACTACCATAATCTGTAAAGTAAAAGGTTATGTGAAGTGTGATAGTAAACTTATTTCATTAATTGTATATTATTTTACAAAATATGTATTAATTTCAAACATGAACACAGCTGAAACGTTGGCAGTTTAAATTTTATAGATTTATATTGAACATTTTTTATCAGTTTTATACATTTTCAAAATTGAGCTAAAATCTACGAATAATAACAGAATACCTAATAATATTTATTTACATTATAATCGACATTGCAAGTGTTTTAACTTGAGTCATGAATTTTTACGATATACTACAGTGAACGCAAATAAGACATGTAAGCAATCGTATATATAAATAATGATCAGACGTAAATTGAGCTCGGTAGGCGTGGCTTAATAATGCGATGATAACGAGTTTGGTTCCAAAATCGTCACTATTATAATAAGGATCAATTATAATTTGCATTGCATTTTTATACATAAAACGTCCAAACGACGAGTGACGAGTACAATGGAGTCATATAATAAATGTTGTAAGCGACATATTTGATGTATGGCAATTGAAACCAAAAACTAATGGAAATAAGGTCAATTTTTAACTATGTGTTCCAAGTCGTAATATAATATACTCTTAGCTAATCAAATATTTAGTTTCAATGATTTACACATTTGTTTAAAGTTTTTTTTTTTGCGGGAATTTGACCACATTTTTTGATGACATTGAAAAAGTTTAAAAAAATATTATAAAAGATCATGTTTTTTTTCTTAATGTTTGATACTGGCAGGCGAAGGTGAAGAACGGTAAGCGAAATGTAGGGCGTTCCTTTACTACATGGAGTGACGACCTGGTAAGACATAGGGGAAATCCATGGATGCAGGTGGTTCAGGGACAAGCTTTGTGACATTTTTTGGGGGAGATCTATGTTCAGCAGTGAACTTGTGAAGGGTTGTAGTGATGATGAAGATGACACTGGCAAAAGTACAATCTTACATGTCCATTAACACAAAGAAATTTGCAATATTGTTCCATTTTGCGCTTTATGCCCTTGAATACTTTCATGTTTTATTTGTGTTCACTGACAAATATAGCAAAATTGGGTTGGGTGTAGCCAGTTCGCTGTGATCTGCTGATGTCCTGTTGAGAGAATGTGTGGCGATGTGCAGACGGACTACCGGCGCCGGCGCCTGGCACCAGGCTTGTGCCGATCCGGAGCCGCCACGGACACGCTGGCGGACGCGATCTCGTCCCGCGTGGCTGCTTCCGTGCGCTCCAGCTGCCCGCGCGCCTCCACGAAGAACATCACGTCGCGGAGCTGCTCTTTCAGATCTGCCACCTGTAAGAGGTAGGACCACGCTCTGATACAATACCAGCTCAAGATAATAGCTTAATGCCCCTGTTTCGTCTAGTGAATAGAGAACCGAAGACTATTTACTGGTTTGGCCATGAAGAAAAAAGGAAACATCTCCCACCGGGTGAGGTGTTCAGCTCGAGCAGCGGACAACGCTCCGTGTGTTAGTAAAGAGCTGTTCTACATACAGTGCAACACTTCGGAACTTTGACAGCGTGATTTAGGCTTCGGTGTGTTACGCTTGTAGCGCGACGACAGCGTCGCTACGCTAGAAACAAAGCATACCGACTTAGTCCTGAGAGGTGGCAACGCATCTGCATTTTGATGCTTAAGCTAGTATAGATGTAGATGTCTAGGAGCCACAGCATCCACTTACAAACAGATGGACTGTATACACGTTTGCTACCCTAATTCTACAAAAAAAGTTGTAGCTAGCATTTTCTTACGGTACACGCTACAATTTGATAAGTGTATAGTGTATAGAATTTGAACCTCTTTGAGAAAGGCTTCCTCCTTCTGCTTGGCCTGCTCTTGCCATTGCGCTTGGCCGGTGGCCAACGCACTTGCCAACCCACGCTCCTCTGCCAAATCGTTCTGTACGCTCGACAATCTGCAAATAAACCTTCTAATTAATCAAAAGGTTCGCTAAATAATAACTTCCCAGTTGTCATATTCGTGGTACGGGAGACAAGTGAAACTGAACACAGCTGTAGTGTGGCTCCACGTAATTATATATATTTATGTTAAGTGTAGAATAAGAACAGTATAATTAAAGTCTTGAGTAGAGAAACACGTCTTCTTTTTATTTACCAACCGTACAACATTACATGGCGACCCTGCCAGTCGGTGCGCGCGCGACTCCGCTCGCTGCATGCACCGGCTGGCCACCAATGGTACAATTATAATAAATACGTAAAAAAAATGTATATTAAAAATTATTACACATTCCCGGATTGAGAAAATTAATTAAAGTCGTGTAGAGCCAGCCATCAAAAAGTTATATCATTTTGAATAAATATTTACAAAATAAAATTAAAACATAAGAAGTATAAAATCAAGAGGCAAAGATGCATCAAAAAGGAGAAGAGAGGATAAGAGAAATAACTTTTCACTCCGTATAAGAAGAATATTGGTTAAGAAAACTGGAGAATATTGGTTGACTAAATTGAAGTACGAAATAGCGTTTACATAGGAAATTTTACACTATCAAAATATATACACAATTTTCAAAAACTCGTAACAACCGTACGACATTACATGGCATAACATTACGCAGCTATTGACACTAATGGTGGTTAATATAGCGCATAGCGCCATATTATAGCGCGCTATCTCTCCATAACACATTAGCGCGTGTTATGTAAGCCGTTACCATGGCGCTATTGCGCTATGGCGCTTTGGCGCTATTAAGTATTAATATCTAGCGGCAACTAGTTCTAGCAGCAGCGCTGTTGGGAGAGGACGTGTGAGGCAAATTTGATCTAGTAGCACGCTTTTCATCGCACGCGACCTAATTTAGTGTTAGACGTTCTTTAGTTAGCCTCTCAACTGCGGATGTCCAAGACTTGGACACGAAAATATCTCCGTTGACTGCGGGCGTCCAAGTGTTAGACATTTTTTACCCGCTCTTTTAATGAAGAAACAAAGCATTATGCGCTATTTCTAACTCATTCTACCATATGTCCAGGATATGTACACATGTGTACAGGATAAAAAAGGCTAGCATAAAAACCCCACAGCTTATACACTTTAGTAGTATATTTTATTTAAATCATTCTTAAATGTCGTCCGTTCCTTGAATCAGCCATTAATGTGATTGACGCGCGCTAACAACGAAGTTGTTTGTAATTATTTTGTATTAATTTATATTTATTGTGTGGTGAATTGTGTTAAAACAATGCCTGGGTAAGTAATCTTCTTATTTGTAATCTCATTTTGTGTTTTATCTTATTAAGTACGTGTAAAATCGTTTTTTAATATGTATGAAGCAAACAGCTATCTTAAAACTAACATGCTGGTTGAGGAAATTGACTTGAAATGTACGTAAAATTTTATTGTTGACTGTCAGTTTTGTGTTAAAATATGTGTAATTGTTCATCGTTCACAGTTTTAGTACATCAAAATGTGGATAAAGTGCAATATTTTTAAAATTTTAATGTATATACGCAATAGGTGCAATAGTGTCCATTTTTGAGACGTCCGTAGAAGTGAATTCTAGTTCTCTCTTTTGCAGGTGGCGAAAAAAGGAACTAAAGTTTGCCATACTGCATCAAGTTCAAATTGGTTTGAATGGTTAGAATGGTAAAGAATCTAGCGCCCTCGAGCAGAGAAATGGAGCTTGGTTGACTCCACGATTATTCGATGATTTATAAAAAATTTAATGTGGCATTTGGATATGTCATGTATGTTAACACAAGACTTCGGAATTTTTAAACAATTTATTAAATCAGAAAGTTAGATAGTATTTACATAATATGCTTTTTAATATTTAATATTTGAAATTTTTATTTTTTTAATTTAATATGAACAGGTTGTAGTTTTTAAGGTCACCTCAGACACATATTTCTTATACTGGTTTTTTAAATGTACATTTTATCTGTATGTACTTTGCAAATCGTGTAACGTTGCGTTATGTTTCAACCTATAGCAAGATTGCTGCTACCTACAGTACCATTCGTAAATGAATTGTACTGTAGATACAGTAAATCCAACAAGTACCAGGAGCCTTTTAAAGAAATAAGTACCTATGTTATACATTTATTCAATTTTATACTTATGTCTAACCATCCATTTAGTTTTTATTATTGCCTAGCTATAACTTGTTCAGCTAATTATTTCAGACTATCATCGTCGAAATTGTTAAGTTAGTTAAGTTACACAGCCTATTTCCGTCCCACTGCTGGGCCGTCCCTCACTTCTGAAAGGGTTTTACGGCAAAGAAGTATCCACCGCGCTGCCCATATGCGTGTTGGCGAACTGCACATGCCTTGGAAATATTTTTTTTATTTATCAGACAGTCAGACTTCGTCATGATGTTTTTCTACACCGGCGAGCAAAGGTAAATCAGCACTTAAAATTGCAATTAATAATTTCATTGATGCCGGCGGGGATCGAACCCGGTGTGCTAGCGTACTGTGAAATTTAACGCGAGAGCTAACAATCTGAGCTACCAGGGCTCTCTCATCGTCGAAATGAATACTTAAGTTAGTTAACTTACAGCCTTTTTTACACCCCACAGCTGGGCAAAGGCAAATAAGTTTCCGTCGCGCTGCCCCAATGCGTATTGGCGAACTTCACATGTCTTCGAAATATTTTTTTTTCTTATTTCACAGACTTGCAGGTTTGTTTGTTTTTTTTTTCTATAGGATAGGGTGACAAACGAGCACGCAGTCCACCTGTGGTGCTTGCTGCGGCCCATAGACATCTACATCTATCCTCGATTACAAATCAAAATGCAAAAATGCGTGTCACCCGTGAGGACTAAGATGGAACGCCTCGTTTCCAGCAAAAAAGGCTCTCCGATTCTCTACACTCACCATACGAAACACAGAAGCATTAAGCTATTATTTCACGCTGGTATTCTGTGAGAGCGTGGTCCTTCCCCGGTCGAGCCGGCCTATTCGTGCTACAACTATACTACTAATATAACTGCAGCATGGCTCTACCACGTATAAAAAATGTTTTAATGAACTAGTACATGATGCACAAAACAGTGCAGAATCGAACTTTAATTGTGGCATATTTTTGTATAATGCATAAGAAGTGGGTTCTTTGAAAATATACATAAATAGTATTTTTTTTTATTTCAGAAAGAGATATATTTATTTTAAATTTTATTATTTCGTAGCTATTGTTTGTGTTAAAGGAAATATGTTACCGTTTGGATAAATAATGTTATTGGTTATTGGAAATGTAACATAACCGCTGCGCACCTCGCGGCGCCTCTGTCACTCGACACATATTATGGTGCATTGGGTATTGTTTACAAAAAACGTTATTTATAACTCTACATCAGCGGGAGTGACTCTTGAGTGCTTTTATGGTTTTTAAAGGAATGAATGAATCTTTATTTCTGTACAGGTGCTGTTAAAGTTTGTTTGCTCAAATAAAGTAATTAATTTTTCAATAAATATGGCACTTACGACTAAAATTTTGATATCGGCATTAAGAGTACTTATGAAATACTTTATCGGATTTCTAAAACTTAGCAAGACCTATTGAAAGATGACTGAATCATGTAAAGAAAAAGAGAGATTTAAGACTGAATCATTGTAATGAAATAAAAAAAAACTATTTTTATTGACTAAAGCATTACGCCGCATTATGCCGCATCTGGTCCGAACTACATGCTACATCGGTGTAAATTGATTGTGGGTTCTTGTAAGCTTATTATTAATGCGTTTTACGATAAAAAATTGTATTGTAGCCTATGATTTTGCACATAAAATATTGTAAAAAATAGACCTAAGATTAAAATAAAACAAAATTGAACTATTAAAAAACTTTGTGTCATTGAGAAATATGAAAGTTTTGACTTTATTCTATATTTAGTTACACTAACTACTTTAAACTTTATTAAATATATGTACTCGTTTATAGGAAATTTCATAGAGAATTCAGAAATGTATACATATTAGAGTATTCGATATACCAAAATCAAGATATTTGCGTTTAAACGGATTGGGCCCAATCAGCTGTCCATTTTATTAAACAGCTCCGCAGTCAACGGAGAATTACGGTTAGAGTCTCCGCAGCTGAAAGGTTATTGTATACTGTATATTTATAAGTGATCGAAGGACACAGTTGTCTGCTTTAAAAGAAGCCTAACTAATATTTTTAAATGTAAATAAAATGTAGATACAAAAGTGTGTATAATAGTTTATGTAAATAGTTGATTTTTATAAATACCTACAATCAATAAACTTTTAAATACACAGTTATTTGATTTATAATTTATATTAAGGTTAAAATAACGTTTACATCAATTATAATAAAAATTTATTTATTTTATTTCGTTTTAAACAATACATGCCCTAAAAATATTTTTAGGATTATAGAAAGTCGTAAGCCTGAAAAGTATGAAAAAGCGTTCATTGGTTTTTCTTAGCCGCTTTATTTTATTTTAGTATAAAATGCGACTTATTACGAAATAATGTTCTTATATATCACGCGGTCTATCCAATGAACGACATGTAATGTAACGTGCTTAGAGATATAACGTGCTGCTAAACTTAACGCGCTTGCCGGCCTCCTACACGCTTTCTTATAAATAGCGCGCTATAACATAGCGTATTTAATAGGGCGCTAGAAATTTATAGTTTATTGTCTGTAGCGTGCTATTGATTTATAGTCGTTTTGAACAACTTTAATTAACACACTGCTCTATTAACTTGTAGACACACACTGTGGGCGCAGTCACGCACACATACATAACATTAGCGTACATACATAACACCGGTAAACGCATAGAATACTATAATAGACGATAGAATGACTGTCAACCTTGTTTTTTACGAGAATAGGCGTCGCCGGCAGCACAAATATAAGCAATTTTACGTCGTATTATCAGTTAATCACTACTACAAACCCGATTCGCTTTGTTGACAGACG